AGTGGGTCTTAAGAAGTATCTCTACGAAAAAAGCTAGTGTAGGTGATGGAATTCCAGTTGAGCTACTTCAAATACGAATGTGGAAAATGCAGCAGTGGCTATAGGGCTTGTATAGGTCAGTTTTCATTCCAATCCCAGAGAAAGGCAATGTGAAAGAATGTTCAAATTACCACACAGCTGCACCCATTTCACTTGCTAGCAAGGTAATGCTCAAAATCCTTCAAGCTAGGTTTCAGCAGTATGTGAACTGAGAACTTACAGATGTACAAGCTGGATTCAGAAAAGGCAGAGTAACCAGAGATCAAATTGCCAACATCTGTTGGATCATTGAAAAAGCAAGAGAATTCCAGGAAAATATCTACTGTGCTTTATTGACTACACCAAAGCTTTTGACTGTGTGGATCATAACAAACTGTGGAAAATTCTTCAAGAGATGGGAATACCAGACCACCTTACTTGCCCCCTGAGAAATCTGTATGCAGGTTAGGAAGCAACAGTTAGAGCTGGACATGGAACAACAGACTGGTTCAAAATTGGGAAAGGAATATGTCAAGGTGGTATATTGTCACCCTGTTTATTTAATTCATATGCAGAATATATCATGTGAAATGCTGAGCTGGATGGAGTACAGCTGAAATCAAGATTGCTGACAGAATATCAGTATCCTCAGAAATGCAGATGACACCACTCTAATGGCAGAAAGTGATGAGGAACTAAAGAGCCTTTTAAAGAAGGTGAAAGAGGAGAGTGAAAAATGTTGTATTAAAACTCAACATCTAAAAAACTAACATTATGACATTCAGTCCCATCACTTCATGGCAAATAGACATGGAAACAATGAAAACAATGACAGACTTTACTTTCTTGGATTCAAAAATGCCTGCACACAGTGACTGCAGCCATGAAATTAAAAGATGCTTATTCCTTGGAAGAAAAGCTATGACAAATCTAGGCAGCGCATTAAAAAGCAGAAATGTCACATTGGCAACAAAGGTCCATATAGTCAAAGCTATGGTTTTTCCAGTAGTCATGTGTATATGTGAAAGTTGGACCATAAAGAAGGCTGAGCACTGAAGAATTGATACTTTTGATATGTGGTACTGGAGAAGACTCTTGAGAGTCCCTTGGACTGCAAAGAGATGAAACCAGTCAATGCTAAAGGAAATCAACTCTGAATATTCATTGGAAGGACTGATGCTGAAGCTCCAATACTTGGGCTACCTGTGTGAAGAAGCTACTTATTGGAAAAGACCCTGATGCTGGGAAAGATTGAAGGCAGGAGGAGAAGGGAATGACAGAGGATGAGATGATTGGTGACATCACTGACAATGGATATGAGTCTGAGCAAACTCTGGGAGATAGGGAAGGACAGGGAAGCCTGTTGTGCTGCAGTCTATTGTGTTGAAAGAGCTGGACATACTGAGTGTCTGAACAGCGACAACAGAACTTCTAAATGACAGTATGCACAAGGGCCATGACACTTCCAAGTCCAACCATAAAAGTTCAAAAAGTGGGCAGTGGCTCAATTCCTCAAAATATACATTCCTTCCCAAAGGAGTTGGGATACTCCTCTCTCATTAGCCTGTGAAATTGCTGAGCCAATAAAACTAACTACCCCATATTTGGGGCAGTTTATTGTCTTTCAAAATGACCTGCACTCTGTCTATGGAATGTATATATCTCTAAATAAACCTCCTTTCTCAATTGTGACTAGCCCTTTAATTCTTTTCTGAGCAAAGTCAAGGACCCTCTCTTGGTAGCTAGTACCAGGGACTCACCCACTACTTAAGGCATGACTCTTCTCTTGTGTCCTATATTTCATGCAATGAATGGGGACACTCAAAGGTTAGTCATGCCCCTGGTCTTCAGGAGTCCCTGGGACAGGATCCTAAGTGTAATAATGGCCAGCTAATAGACACGGATGGCTTAACCTCATTTCTATGATCAACTCTTGGTCATTTTTCTCTTCCCTGACTCTGTCAAGCCCCACTGCTTCCCTTCCCTACTCCCTTGAGGCAGGAGGTACCTATGCCCCACCCCCCACAGGATAAAGAAATTGGAGATAAGTTCCCTGTGGACTGAAACTCCAAGATAAGAATAGCTGGCTAATGGAGAGAGAGAAGGCCAGATTAAAGATAAGAAAGCACATATTTCTCATTCTTGCAGTCAGAGAACCTCACCCACTGACTACACATACATAGAAAAGCTCCTTGGAGGTCAAAAGAGGAGTGATTCTAAGTCTACCTACCCACAGTCCTCTTCAGAGGAACCTATCTTGGCTAAGAGACACAGATGCACATATAGTAGGATCCTACCAAAAACTCAGAATCAGGCAAATCTAAACAACTGGCCAAAGGATAACCAGAAGAAAAGCCCCATGTAAGTGATTTAAACTACCATGAGGGCATGGCTCTCTCTTCGAGTCTGCCTGTGTATCTATCCATGCATTCTAGACTCTTTTTCCTCCTAATAAACACTTTGTTTCACTACTTTCTTTGTGGGGATTCTTTTTCTGCAAAGCCAAAGGGCCAGGACCTTGTCATCGGCCCCTGGTGTAGTGACTAAGGTTTGGTGCTCTCACCCCAAGACCGACCTCAGTCTCTGGCCAGGAACCAAAATCCTGCTTCAAGCTGCTGTAGTCTGAGCCAGCCAAGATCACCCTCATTCTCCTTTTCTAACACCCAGTCACCTCTGTAAGAATAGAAGTTGTGTTCAAACAAGATTCTCTTCTATAATGCGACTGTATATCATTAATCAAAAATCTGTTCTCATTACCACAACTAGCCTCTGGCTTTATCTGCGATAGGTTCAGTTGCTAAGAAGCCCTCCATCACTGGCATTTGTTTGACAGTAATGGGATAATACTCATTAGAAATCATTAGCAAAAGCATTTGCTCTGTTTCAGAAAAGAACAATCCCTACACACAGCCGTGATTACAAGTTTAACAAAACTTTTCTGGGAAGCGATTCTGATTTATGAATTCTGCATTAAGCATCTAAGTACATCTATCACACACAGCATAATGGCAACTTTCTGGGTAGTGATTTCCCAAAACCACAAATGATGTTTAAATTCCCAGTGAGTTACACATTTGGAAGGGCGTGAATGTGTCCTGGGTGATTGTGTATTATACTCAAATACGAGGTTTATACCACCACCTTTGTGCTTTCCTTTTGGGTCTCAGAATCTGGAAGTGTAGTTTTGCATGAGGGCAAAGAATTGCTACCCTGGCAGGAATCTTCCAGTGTGTCTTAGATGGCCTTTGTGAAATGGAGCAGGACCTGTGAAGTCCTCCTGGGTACAAATCCTTTCTGTGTCCTCATTTATTATTTTTAGGAAATAGGTTTCAATCAGCTTCCTTGACCTTCCTTTAGTTGCAAAGAGCAGATTCAAATAGTTACTAATCAGTGGAGAGAGGGGACACAGAAATGAGGGCGGAATAGTCAGTTAACAATGGAGCAGCATGGGGCAAAGTCCTGGTTCCTTCTCATGAAATATAGGTAACAATTTCTTTGAGTTCTTCAGGAACTAACGCCCCCACCCAGAGAGAGGATGGCAACTTCAGGCTGAGCACTAGCTTTCTGAAGCACCAACCTGTCATTTCACCATAGACCAAAGAGAAGAATGGGTTTCCCTGGTGGCTGAGATGGTAAAGAATCTGCCTGCAATGCGGGAGACCTGGATTAGATCCCTGGGTTGGGAAGATGCCCTGGAGAAGGGAATGGCAACCCAATCCAGTATTCTTCCCTGGAGAATTCCATGGACAGAGGAGCCTGGTGGGCTACAGTCCATGGAATCACAAAGAATCGGACACGACTGAAGCAACTAAGCACTGCAAATTCAGAAGAAAGTCTGCTGCAAAGTGGAAGATTACAATCGCCAATCTGCTCCCCAAGCAATTCGATTAACCCTTTAAAACTCTAGCAGAACAGAATCTTGTGTTACACTTGTCTCTGGAGTACTAGGTTTTAAACAGTGAGCAGCAGAACCTGACTTCAGTAACATTTGTTTATCTTTAGTGTTTTTCAATATATCTCAGAAATCATGAAAAACTACTTTAGAAAGAATACAGAATTTGAGACTTCTTTGGTGGTCCAGTGGCTAAGACTCCATGCTCCCTATGCAAATGTCTTGAGTTGGATCATTGTTCAGGGAATTGGATCCCACATGGTGCAACTAAAGATCCTCTAAGCTGCACCGTAATTAAAGAGTTGTCTCAACTGAAGATCCTGTATGCTGCAATTAAGCCCACAGCAGCCAAAAAAAAAAAAAGAAGGCGGGATTCAAAGAGCTTGCATTTAACTTCAAATTCTGGTATCTATTTAAGGTGTGTTAGGAAGCACCAACCCTGGGACTACAACTCTTCCTTCCCAGGTTTATGAGTTTTGAATTTTCTCATACCCTTTAATTCAGAGTTGTCTGAATATAGTAGGTATTCTTTGGATTCCCTAGGTTCATTCTTTCTGCTTATTCTAGTCTCTATTCCTTGGCTTTCTGACTCCCTGATGAACCTTCCCTATTCTTCAAAATCCAGTTCAAGCCTGCATTTTTTGCTGCCTCCACTTCTGCCCTCACCACTTCCCTTTGGTCTCTTCTCCCACCTCTGTTGCAGTAGAAATCTGCTCATCCCACAAGCCTCCTCTCGGTGTCTGCACTTTTTACTATGTCAGTTTCCATACAGTAAGGAACACTGTACCCCTGGTACCTAGCAGGATCTCTGACACAGGAAGAATTCAATAAGTGATTATGGAACAAACAACTGAAGCTCTTTTTGCTTCCAGAGATTAATTATGTTACAGATTGTAATCAAGAGCTGAGAATTAATTTTTCTTTCTTTTATCCAGTACTGTGTGCACACACAAAAATGCAACATGATTTAAGGAAAAATCTACAGAGTACTGAAAAAAAATAGGCAAGTCTGATCACAGGTTCTGCATCCCCTCTGGACTGGGAGCAGTGAGAGGGGCTGTGGGAAGGGATGAATGGACATGTCACTTACATTTTGCAGCTGGACATGATTCTTCACCAAGTTTTCGGACTTTGCCATTGTGCTAGATGTTTTGAGACTGTAGTTTTTACCATTATGTGGCTCTTTCAGCTGCTCTTGAATTTGTTTAGCTTGTTTCCTGAAAGTTTAAATAAATCCATGTATAAATAGTCACATAAATTTATGCCTATTTTTTTGAGGTTCATTCACTCCTAACATCTACGCTTGTCATTTTCTATAGCAAGATAAACTCAGTTAACAAAGACAGTCCTCCTTTCATTTTCAATCCCACCAAGAAATACTTCGCATTACCCATTAATAGCCAGGATTCACACCCCATGGCACTCTAAAGGCAGAAATGTAACTCATTGTCCTCACCCTACTGAATGTAAGAGGTCCTTAACATTGAGTGCTCAACTAAAGAGAATTAGGAATGCTCTGAAGTTACAAGTAGACAACTTTGACACTTGGACCTGGCAGCCACATATGACATATTTGCAAAATTACATTTATATCTCTCCATTTCAGATAGGTATAGCTTGACTGGATAACTTGCACACATGCCATAATAGGGATCTATTATATTTTTTATAGTTTAAAAACACTTCATTTATTTTTACCATCTGCCCTGAATGCAGAATTTATTAGAACTTTTGTAAATAATAATAAAAAATTTAACTCTTGAAGGATTAATTTATAAGTAATAAAAATTAACTCTTCAAAGATGCCAAGCATCATTTGAAGTGTTACCTGTCTTAGCTCACTTTTTCTTCACAATAATTCTGTATGACAAGGCATTAATCCTACACTTATTTAATAGATGAGAAAACTGAGGCACAGAGAAGTTAAATAATTTGTCCAAAGTCAAACAGCCAGTCAGTGGTAGAGCTGGATTAGAACCTAATGAATCTGGCTGCATACTCCTCATTTTGAGGCACTACTCATGACTGTCAAATCACTTGCCCGTGGTCACACTGCTTCTTGGTGGGAAGGCCGAGACTTCTCAGGTTTTGGATTCCAAGTAAATTACTCCTGCTTGCAAATGTGGAGTGACTGCTGTTTGACCTGTACAAATTACTGCCTTATTAGCTGCTCTCCTAAGCACTTTATAGCAATTAACTATCAGCGTAAGACCCAGTACCCAAGAAACAAACAAGCAAAAAAACTTCACAGAATCATCTCCCCTAGACTTCTGCCTCTTCCCCCAGGGCCCATGCCAAGGATAGAGCCTTTGGCGGTGACTGTTCACCATCTCTCCATCTCTTGCAGTGAGTTTTTTGAGGCGGACATCCCTCTATGCACCATGGGCTTGAGTACCAGAGCGACTGGCATTTTAATTCCAGCTCTGTGTCCCAACAGCTTTGCCTTGATTCCTTAAATCAAAATGACTGATTCCCCAGAATTCTGTGAGCCTCAGTTTCCTCCTCCGTCAATGGAGTTTAGATAAGCTCTCTTGCATAAATACTGTGGGCACTAAATGTGAGGACACGTGGAGAGTATTAATCAGTTACACTCCTCATCACTTAGTAAGCTTAGTTATATGGGCAGATGCTGCTGAGGAATCAGGGCACTGGCTCAGAGATAAAAGGAGCGATCTTGTTAATTGCCTCTCACAAGGAAGTCACAGAATTGCTACAGGATTTGGAGGTCTGTGCATTATTATCTCCTCTGAATTTATAATACTCGTGTGATATTATTCTGTTTAAATATTTCTTTTATCCTTTCAATTACTTGGGGGGCTTTTATCTCCAGTACTCTTAGTTGTTTTAATACACTTGTAATAATCTATCTACTTCCTAACAGCTAATCTGTAGCTTATTGTTAGAAACAAATCTATCCTATCAGCTTTTTAAGAAGCACAGACAAAATCCTATCAGGGACTCACTGATGAAGCAGATGGGAGATGAGGAAGTTCTCCTGGAATAAATCATCAGGAAGTAGTAAAAGGGGCTTGACACAGAGGAAGAACATGATTATTTTTCCAAGAATTAGCTGTAGAAATACTAACAATCTTTTCAGTAATTCCCCAATTCAGCATTTGGGAAATGTAAACATCTAAAGGAATTTTCCTCATAAAAATGTCTGATTGCATTTCCTAAATCCTTTTAATAATTTGCTTTAATAATTTAATAATCCTTTAATAATTTGCTTTCCTTTACTCCCCTCTTACCTTTGTCCTGACTCACTAATATTCCAGAACATATGGGCTTTCTTTTCTAAACCTGCCTCCTTTTCTATCTTCCCTCAGCTCTCTCAAGGCACATATTTTTGCTCTTTCATTCTCCTCTCAGCAGATGGGAACAAAGAGAAGGGAGAAGCATCTGTCTGCAAGGCCTTCAGCTCTCTCAGGAGAGCAGTGGCTCTGAAGACAAGATACAAGTATTGCACACTGGAACCCACTAGCCTAACAATCTAGTGTGATTCTAGAGTTTAGTGAGTTTTAAGTTTCTCTGGCTCAATTCATCAGGAAGAAATGAGAAGTACAGTGTGGGATATCAGACACAACAAGTCCATCAGGAGATGTTGTTTGTAATGTTGCAGGTTGGCTCCCTGCAGAAGCAGACACTGAGATGGAGATCATGTGCAGGATTTTTATTAGCGAGGTCTCCTAAGATCAACACCTGTGGAAACTAAGCGAAGGAAGGAGGATGGGGCAGAAGGAGTTGGAATGTGATGCAGTCTCCAGTGAAAACCTCAGCAAATCCCACAGTGGGCTCTGAAGCTGGCATGGCCTTCACCCCAAGGTGGGGCAGTGGTCTAGGCCTTCAAAGCTTCACACTGACCTGTCATCGGATGCCGGCTATCTCAGGTCAAAGAACTCTTATAACTGTGTACTAGATAACTGTGTGGGGACTAAGGCCACCACAGATGAAGAGAATCATAGCATCACATCAGAACACCCATTGCCTGTCCTTAAGTGCCTTGCTCTGTGATCTAAAATCTCTTCAGAGGATGATAACATAGAGTCAGGGCAATTTGTAGCACATCTGTTTTCTACTCAGGGCATCAGTTCTCCTTTTCCCTCCTGTGCTTTCTCAGTTGTGATAATTATTTGCCCCAGTTCCTGCTCCTGGAACATCGTTCCTGCTGCTGCTCTTCAGTCACTAAGTCACGTGCAGATCTCTGTGACACCATGGACAGCAGCACGCCAGGCTTCCCTGTCCTTCACTGTTGCCTGGAGTTTGCTCAGACTCATGTCCATTGAGCCAATGATGCCATCCAACCATCTCATCCTCTGATGCGCCCTTCTCCTCCTGCCCTCCATCTTTCCCAGCATCAGGGTCTTTTCCAATGAGTTGGCTCTTCTCATCAGGTGGCCAAAGTTACTGGAGTTTCAGCTTCAGGATTAGTCCTCCCAGTGAATATTCAGGACTGATTTCCTTTAGGAGTGAATGGTTTGATCCCTTTGCTATCCAAGGAAGTCTTAACAGTCTTCTTCAGCACCACAGTTTGAAAGCATCAATTCTTCGGTGCTCAGCCTTTTTCGGTTCAACTCTCACAGCCATCATTACTCCTGGAAAAACCATAGCTTAGACTATATGGGCCTTTGTGGGCAAAATGGTATCTCTGCTTTTTAATATGCTATCTAGGTTTGTCATAGCTTTCCTTCCGAGGAGCAAGTGTCTTTTAATTTCATGGCTGCAGTTACCATCTGGAGCCCAAAATCACCTCCAAAATCACTGTTTCCACTTTTCCCCCATCTATTCCGTGCTCCCCCCCCATGTATCTCTTTTCCTATTTCAATTCATTTTTAGAGTTCAATTATGTCTTGCATTTCCAAAGTCTAATAAGGACTCCCGCTGCCAGCCTCACAATTCTTAGCCCATACGAGTTAAAAGTAAAAGGGAAATCTAGAAGAATTTATAGTTGCCATGTGAGCCATATCAGCCAGATTTGGAAGGCTTAATTAATGGTTCCATTAACTACTTATAGGAATACTTGAACTTTTTGGAATTGATGAGAAAAGAATTTATTTTACTGTGACCTTCAAAGTGGTTGGGGTTCAATTAACTCAGAAAATTCTCTGAATTCAAGAAGGTGTTCCTCACTTCTACCTCTTCTTGTTACCTATGTTCAAACTTTCATTGGCTAATAATGTGCTGTAATAGTTTGTTGGGTGATGTCATGCCATATCACAGTTGACAAGAGAATGGAGAAAGGACCAGAATGGCGGGACCCGAATAACTATGGGAAGTAGAACAAATAACCAAGAGAATGTTTTGGTTAAGTCCTGATTCTCCCTGGGCAAAGTAAATTCCAGTATATAGGATGGAGATTCAAGTGAATTTATTAGGAAACCGATGATAGATATGTCCCAGAATCCTAGAAGACTTAGGACTTCCAAGATGAGTTAAAAAAAAAAAAGTATACACATAAAAAAAAATCTTATAATGTTTGAAAGTAAAAAAAAAAAAAAGTAGAGCCTGTTTATTCTGCTATCCCCAAGGTTTTTGGAGGGAATTAGAATCCCAGAAATCAGGGCAAAGAAACTTGTGCCAAGGTGCTAAAAAAATTTACATCACTTTCAGCTATATAAATTAGATGCTTGGTGTGCAATGTGGCCTTCCTCTCAGACAGAGAAAAGTAAAGGAAAACTATGCTTGAAAATTGTCGTAGAAGAAGATAATATTCTCTAAGTCTCTGATGAGAACTATGGCTCCAGTTTGAAGAGTCTTCAAATTTCATTATTCCTTTATTATTTTGAGACATATATATATGTATATGTATATACTTAATAAAAATGTGTCCCGGCTGAGCCGGCAGAAAGATAACAACCTCCTGATTACTCGTCTCCCATTGGTTTAGTCCTCTGAGTCTCCCATTATGCATTGAAAGTTGAACAGTGTTTCCATGAAAATCCCTGACACCTTGCTGAGCCCCAGGAGGATGTGCTCATCACTGAGCCCATTTGCAGCCCACGGGAGAGGCTAACAGCTCTGAAGATAGAAATTCTCTAGTTACCCAGCTGTTCTCTGTTCTTGTGACGGTCATTATCCATCTTTTCTTTAAGTGTGGTACAACTACAGATTATACTCCAAAAATAAGTGATTAACTACTTCTTCATAGTAATTTGCATATTGTTAAATACACAGCTTTCTCCCACACAGCACTTGTGAGGTGACCCTCCTAATGCCCTGCTGAGTGTGATTAACCCTCGCATGCTCAGGGAACTCTATTTACCTTGTAGATACGCTGCCTGTAAGTTCCAGTGGGTAGACACCCTAGGTGTTAACAGCAAGCCTTCAGTGAGTATTTGCTTTTTAAACCCTATGCTGCCCTCTTGCAGTATTATCCCACTAACCTTAAATTCTCTAAGGTAGACATTATTTTTGGTCATATTTTGGCTATATTTTACCAAAACTGAAATCAAGGCTGAATGTAATTTCCCTAATAATACTGAATAAGCAAGTGGCAGACTGAAGATGTGAATACCACTTAGGCTGATGCATGTAAAATCCTCACCACAAAACCATGTAGCCTGTTAAGAACATAAAGAGCTATGGGCTGCAGACAGGCACAACATTCCTGATTCACCTCAAGCAGTTTCACCATCTAGGGGGAGGACTACATGAGTCAACATCCTGGGTGGTGAAGAGCATGGAATTTAAAGTAGAAGTGTGGAAATGCAAAGACCTGTTGTCAATTTCCTACTGTGGGACTTTGACAAATCAATACTTTAAAATCAAATTCTGATGTTATTTGAAATATTGAGCAATAATGCATAATTTCAGTTGTTGTGAGGATTGGGAGATAATGAATGAAAAGCCCAGTGTCCCTGATAAAGTGTTCAAAATTGAACACTAACAACTATTACAGTGAAGAGTTGCTTAGGAGACATGACAATGAAATACAATGTGGTATCCTGGGTGGGGAACAATAACAAAAAAGCACATGAGGTAAAAACTAAGGAAATATGGAAATACAAACTTTAGTTAGTAATACTATTCCACTATTGTTCCACTGATTGTGACAAAGGCAACATACTAATGAAAGACATTAAAAATAGGGGAAATCATGTCTGGGGTATGTTGGATCTATCTGTACTATTTTCATGGCAATTCCAAAAATCTGAATCTATTTTGAAATAGTTTATTAAAAATAATCGTTACTAATTTTGGATTCATATCTGAGTCTCCATTATTTCTTAAAATTGCTGTTCTTTTTAAAGATCGACATACACAACATACAGACAGGTATCACAGACTATATTTGGAAACTGATCCATTTTTAGAAGGGCAAATGGGTAAAAAAATACGAGTCCAAAGAAAAGCAATTACTTGTTGGCTTGGATTCCAGACAAGCTGTAGGAACAGAATCTATGCCAACTTCTCAAGGCCTGTCTACCTTACAAGAAACCAAGCAGTATATTTTTATCTGCATTTCTTAAGGGCAGATTATGTCATTTACATAAATAAAATACCTCTGTCAATGTTATCTGTAACATGTATATGTAAATATATATATGTATATACACATACATACTTATACATACATATGTATATTTTTAATTCTACTAGTCAGAAAAAAAAAAAAAAACAACGCTTTTGCAGAAGATTCGGTTTCTTGGCAAGGTAAGCATAGGGCATATTCTAGATGTCCATACTAACTGGTGAACCAAGGTAGATTTTATAGTTTTCATACTTCATATTTGGCTAAAACCTTTATGGGTATCAAATAAAACACTATAAAAGGAATAGAGCTTTTTTTTTTCCATAAAAGGTTAGATGTATAGCAGTGATCTCTCTTTTCAGAAGAGTTAACCACTTAGTGACAGGCTGACGCTGAGCCTTTAATTCTGGCAGGCATTCAAAAAATGCAAAGAATACAGAGTGTTCATGATCACAGAGAAGAATGATCACTATGTGCATCAAAGATGAAACACACACATACATGTATGCACACTCTGTACACACTCACCACAGGCTACAAAAGATTCCGAGTCATTTAAGGATGTCTGATGGGCCCATTTGCACAAAATCCTTCTGCCTAGAGCTCAGACTGAGAACTTAAAGAAAGACAAAGTGCTTCCTCTGAGAAGTAACCTTTTAACACTTGAGAGAAATGGTCTTACTTGCTTTTGAAGTAGAACGCTGCACAGAACATGCCCACGATGACAATTCCAAAGATGATACATGAAATTGACAGCACCTGCCTTTGATAAACTTCTTCACTCTCTGTGAATTCAAAAAAGAGAATTAGAATGGAAGTTAGCATGGCTCAGCAGACACAATCTCCATCCTTGTAATTTTGAGCTGGTAGGAGCCTTTCAAAGCCAAGTTTTTTTGTTCCTATCATCAACAGGAAAACATGAGGACATTACTACAACCCAGTGTCTTTGCAATGGTCTACAGGACAGCTGTTATTTTTTTGTATCGGCATGGCTAAATAGAACTCATGTATGAATATCACAATTATGAATCTTATCAAAAGAATTTTCATGACTTAAGACATACTTGGAGCATAATTTAAATATGATGGTGGGGTCCCAAATAATCTGCTATCAGAAACTTCCTATTCCAGTGATGACTTCCAATTTATGTGATACTGATGACACTGTGTTTTGTGATTTGGTCCCTGACTGTCAGTCTCCCATTCATCCACCCACTACCACAACTGACATCATGAATGAAAAAGAACTTCAATGTACATGTGAATATTTACTCAGTCATCCTGCAACCTCCTCAGACCAATAATCTGGCAAATAGCCTCAACCTCTACTACCAAGGTTATATCTTAGAGTTTCTTAATGCAAAAAATAAGAATTCAAAAACAAATCATTTCAATTTTTGGACATTAACATTTGTACTTCTAAGCACACTTTCTGAAACATGTCTACTGAAACAGTACTTCCATCATCAAGACCTTTCATCCATACTCAGAACTTTCTGTTAATTACCCTCCTCCTGTCTTCATTAATCTCTTTACATGGCACAGAGACTATGGTCTATTTACCTTCCTTCCTTCTTTCTCCCTCCCTCTCTCTTTTTCATCTTTCCTCCTTTCCTTTCTTCTTCCTTTCAGTATTCCTCTCTCCCCCTTCCCTCCTTCCTTCTCTCTTTTTTCCCTTCCACCCATCCATTCATCATGCAATGTATCTTCTCTTTGAATATGACTGTACATTTTAAAGTTGTTTTTTTTTTTTGCTTTTTTNAGTTTTTTTTTTTTTTTGCTGTTGTTCCCTCAGTAGTCTATTAGGAAACAATGTATTAAAAGAACTATTCTCTCTTCTCTCCCCTCTTAGGCTTTATTTCCATTTTTAATGTCTTTATTCAGACAGGAGTATCAAAAAAAAAGAAAGAAAGCAAACATAAGAGATTTAAGAGAATATTAAAATATCCACATTTTTGAATAAATGAAAAGGGGCAATTATGTGGCCCTGGCAAGACTTGGTTGACATTTAAATTTGGAAAGATTCAAATTAAAGAGAAAAAAAGTATGTCATTGAGACCTTGTTTGGACATATACTATCTTAAAGAATGTCATCCTTTTCACCCCCACATTTGTAAGCTCATTAAATCTTCCAAGTGAACTTGGGAACAAGTAAGTAGATCTACCAACTTATAAAGAATTCCATTTCACTAAATTGCTCTGAGTTGGTGACTCTAATGGAATAAGTATGACTTACAGATAATAATCTACTCCACCTTGTTTCTGCCAATAAAAAGAACTATGAAAATGGTGGCTAATAGTACGTATTAAAACAAAAGAGGTATGACTGTGTTCACTACAAGAGTGATTTCTGCATAAAATCAACAGGGTGTTTTTGTTCATTTTTTGAATCTAGTCAAATATAGCTTGGGGAAATGCACAAAATCAATTCTGAGTTTAAATCAAGAGTGAAATTAAAACTCCAAAGACTGTGAGTGGATTTATAGACCAGATGGAGTTACAGTGCTGCACTCTCAATGCCTTCGGTTCAGAGTGCTACACAAGAACCAGCCTAGGGAGGGGCAGGAAGCAAGGGATTGGGAGTCTGGTAATTTTTGCACTTGACTTTCATTTTAGCCACTTGTAATATGAGTAACAAAAGATAAATTACTTTACATTTATAAATTTTAATTTCTATCTAAATAAAGGCAGTGGTATAAAATGCTGACTGTAATAAATGTTGTAACAAGGAGGTATATAATCTGACAAAAGATATAATGTGGTAAATTCGCAGAGTCCAGAGATCAGAGATTTTAAATATAAAACAGGATCCAATTAGGCAAGAGCAATGGGGATGGGCACAGTGGTCCAGGAAGAGAAGACAATTTGTGCAAAGGCCCTTTGGTAGGATATAAAATGGCAGGTTCAGGAATCTGGAAGGTTTTTACTCTACCACTGGACCTTTGCAAAAGTTACTTTCTATTCCCCACCAGCTTAGCTTCCCAGTTGGTGCCAGTGGTAATGAATCTACCTGCCAATGCAGGCAACACAAGGGGCACAGGTTTGATCCTGGTTTGGGAAGATTCCCAGAGGAGGAAATGGCAACCTACTCCAGTGTTCTTGCATGGAGGATTCCATGGATAGAGGAGCCGGTGGGCTACAGTGCATGGGGTTACAGAGTCAGAGACAACTGAGCGTGCATGTACACGCTGGACACACCAGCTTAGCACAGCAACACAGAGACAACAGGAGCGTGGTATACAATGAGCGTGTCTTTACAACAGCAGAAAGGTACTGAAAAGTTCGAAAGAGGAAAGTGATGTGATAATATTTACATTTATTTTTTTTCGGCAATTTACGGAAAAGGTTAGGAAGGGTAAAGTAAATGCAGAGTCCTGTTAGAAGGTTATTATATCAGCTTAGACATGATGGATACTTCTATGATAACAGTAACAACCATGATGAGCAATAAAAAAAAAAAAAAGGTGAAAAGCAGTTAAGTTGAAAAGACTGAATGGACTAGACAATGCTACTCTTAATGAAGATGGAGTATATCAAAGAGGAATCAGACTTGTAAAGATAGATATCAAATTCAGTGTTGGACTTATGCATGTATGTGTTAGTCAATCAGTCATGTTTGACGCTTTTCAACCCCATGGACTGTGGCCCACCAGGCTTCTCTCTCCATGGGATTTTCCAGACAAGAATATTGGAGTGGGTTGCCATGTCTTTCTCCAGGGGATCTTCCCAACCCAGGGATTAAATCCGGATATCCTGCATTGCAGGCAGATTCTTTACTGTCTGGGGAAGCCCAGTGTTGGATTTGGTGTTTTAGAAACCTATAACATATCCAAGTAGAGGTGTAAGGTAGACATTTAAATATACAGACTTGAATTAAGATAAAATGACAGAGTTCCAGATATAAATGTTCGGGGTTATGCATATACTTAAACCAAGTGTGTTGACAAGACAGCCCCAGGAGAAAATATAGAGTGATAAAGGAAGAATGTCTAAGATAGAGCTTTGAGAGACTCAAAAATTTCATGGAAGAGTAAATGAGGATGCTGCAGAGCAGATATAAAACAGATCAGCCAACAGGAAAGAAAAAGAAAAAAACAGAAAACACACAACAACAATAAAATATGACAATATCATAGAAGAAAACACATGGAGATTTTGTAGAATAGGCTATTGAATGTTTCTGAAAGGTCAAATAAAATACGGTCCTTTAATTCAGTGACATAGAGGTTACTGGAGAATGTACATGAGCAATTTGATGGAATCACGAGAGCAGTCCACACAACTCCCTGGGATCTCTGTCATGCTCTCCCATATACTGTAAGGCAAATGCTCTTTCTTCAAACCTACCCCATGTTCTATCACTTAGTCTGGTTTGACAGTCTAAAATTCTAGCCTGACTCTAGAAAGCATAAAATGCCTTATTTATAATGAGGCTACTATTACCTTCACTGTATAAAAGTTGTGAGGATTGAGTGAATTAAAATATACTGAGCATTGTAGTGCCTAACTTGGAATAATCATTAAGTATTAGGCAGAATCATATGAAATTGCCATGGGGGGCAAAAAATGGCTGGGCATTGACCATTTAATTTGGCTCCATCTAATGTATGGTAACTTACTGTTCTAGAGAACATCAACATTTTTGCATTTCATTGATGCAGTTTATGAAGTAATTTTTGAGGGCAAAAACCAATCTCTCATTCGACAGGAACTAGTAAAGGTTGTTTGCATTGTCTCCCAACTCTGTACCTTTTCCTCTTCTGTTGTATACTGGACTCGCTCTTCTATTTTTGTATGATCATATCTCATATTATCAAGATGGAAACAGAGAGGGTAGTAACGTTATGGTGAGTTTTCAGAAACTGACACTGGAGCAGCAGAAGAAAATCCTTTAGGCAGGTAGCCTACCCTAAAACTCTGAAAAACACCATGCTGCCGTGTGCTGATCCCACTCTTCTCTTGAACCCACCTCACTCAGGAAGCAGTGTGGCTGACTGTGTGAACCCCTCCATTTAACACCAGCTACACCTGTTCTTATCTTCTTTCATCTATTGTCTTTATCAACAATGGGGAAAATACTACACACTTCACATATTTGTTCAACATGTACTTTATGTGTGTGCATACCAGTCAAGTCTGATTCTTTGTGACCCCATGGCCAGTAACCTGCCAGGGTCATCTGTACATGGGACTTTCCAGGCAAGAAATACTGGAGTTGCCTTTCCTTCTCTAGGGGATCTTCTTGACTCAGGGTCGAACTCAACTGTCTTGTGTCTCCTGCATTGGCAAACAGATTCTTTACCACTGAGCTACCTGAGGAGCCAGGAAAACACAAAGGGTCTGAATGGCATGTAATGGACACGTAAAATGCCAGTTTCCTTCCTTTCCCCCTTTTCTCCTGAAGTCAGCATTGAAGCAAACAAAACAAAACAACTGCTTTCAAAAGACTCTATCTGTCTTATGCAAAACTCACCTTACCCGCAGGCAGTCAATGATTTGCTGTCTTGGGTTCTCTCTCCCTGTGCTCTGAGGTGTATACTGAAGGAATTTATTTTTGTCATTTTCTTTACTCATGGTTCCTTTTAATTTTACTTGAAATTGAATTTTTCCACTAGTAATTTTGAATTTCCTAGCCAGAGATGGTCCTATCACTTCATGGCAAATAGATGGGAAAACACTGGAAACAATGACAGACTTTATTTTCTTGAGCTCCGAAATCACTGCAGATGGTTACTGCTGTCACAAAATCAAAAAACACTTGTTCCTTGGAAGAAAAGCTATGACA